TAAGATATGTCTCAAAAAAAATTTATGTTATTAAGGGTCTATAATGAATTTTTCATACTTAGTTTGTTTTTTGGATTACGATTATCCATATCCTCTAATTATATTTCTTCAAAATCAATTAGTGTTTCAATGGTTAACTTATAGTTTGATGTTCAAATCAGATATATTTCCTCTAAGTATGTTTCTTCAAAATCGATTAGTGTTTCAATGGTTAACTTGTAATTTGATGTTCAAATCAGATATGATTTTTTAAAAAAATAAGAGAAATTAGATCATGAAAAATGAGTTTACCTTAATTTTAGACTTTTATTCATAAAATTTATACAATCAAATATATTAATTGATTATTAATATATTATTAATAGTTTATCAATGACTGCTATCTAATTAATTGGCTTTTAATCATTTTTAACGTGGGTTTATAACCTATCAGTTGATGATTTATCTCATCATATTCTCGGCATAGCATGTAGTACAAAATTCAAATTATAGATTGAAGTTTTATTAGTGTTACATAGTTTTAACGATTCTCCCTTGTGAATATAATAGTTATCGTTATTGTAATATGCATAAAGAGGGTTTGTGCTAGTGGTTTATAAAAGTTATGAATTATGAATAATTGTAGGGCATTGTGGGTGATACCGTAGGGGTTGTGCATTTATGAAAGGGGTCTACAATACGTGTGGGATGATTACGGTGCATATGCCCTATGATTGGAAGAGAGTGAGAGGCTCCAGCATTTAAGAAAAATGAAAGCCACGAAGACCAAATTGAGCACACCTATTGTGACCTTATGAGGGGAAAAAGAAACCAAAATTGAAGGAACAAAAGTGAATCTTAATACAATAATGCAAGGAATGGGCACTTCCAGCTGTCTTACAATTGGACCAATTTTGAAGTACAATTTTATGGCCTTCTTCTACGTGTGGTCGTAGATTTCACATTTAAATTGTGACCAATTCCGACTTTGGGGGGACCATGGCATCAAAAAAGGGTCAACCAAGTTAAAAAAATCTTTTGGGGTCACCTACCCAATACACTTCCAACCTTCCCATTCTTTATTTTCTCCCACTTTCTCAGAATTACATCAACTTCTTTATGTGTGCTGCTAGTAAGGCCAAAAAACAACTTGCCAAAACAACTTATCTTCTTCGTCATTTTCAGATCTTGTTCCTCCTTTTTTATTTTCCCATCTTTTCTCTTTCTTCCTTTCTTTTTCCTTCTTCTAAGAGTGTCCAATCGTGCTTCCCAAACAAAAAAATTTGTTTCTTTTCAATCCAACGTAATTCGGCTCATAAATAACTTTTCTTTTTCGAACCCTAATATTTGGAAATCACGTTCAATCTAATCTATTTCACGTTACCATGGAAATTAAGAACCCCTTCTGGATAATTCATTTAGGGAAATTTTGCTCGAAAGATGTCAAAACACTTGAGTTACACAAACAAATTGAAGCTCAACAAAGTAATCCACGATTTCTTTTAACATGTATATTTGTAATTTTGATGGAAAGGTCTTTACTATGTTAACAAATTAAGAAATATGTTTTTTTAATATACACAATAATTTTATAATGAGATTAAAATAATAAAAGGTAAATCTAATGAATTTTTTTAGTGATGTTTAGGGATATAGATTGAGATCCCTTCTCAAAGTATTTCAAGTTGTTCGAAAAACTAAATAGTGTTCTTGATGATCCTCAATTATTCAAATTAGATTAATCGTTTTCTTTCTTTCTTGTTCAATTTGTCAATTACTTTTGCATAATAATTTTATAATAAAAATTAATAAATCAAACATATATTTATAAATATTATAATGAATTTACCGTTAAGTCTTTATTAATTTTTAATCAATGATTCTTATTCTTATCGTTAGTGTTCAACTTAATTATTAATTATTAAATATTCTGATCATTTTCTTGCTGGAACGGTCAATCTCCGAGTACTGAACTGATCAGGTGACCATTAAGTACACTCGGTAACATTCGTTCTACAAATGAAAGAATTAACGTAAACGTAGAGTTGTGAAAAGTTTATTCAGACTTAGCTTTATATGTTATTTTCTCCTTTTTAAAATTCTTTTATATATCTTCTGAAGAAATTTATTTATTTCCTTTCGTTTTCTTTCGTTTCACCTTTTCCAGAAAAGTTATTGTTTTATAATATGCATATTATATTCTACTTTTATGTTTAAAATTACTTTACACCTCAGCTAAAGATATTTTAGACGAATATAAACCATAACTCAAGGGAATAAAGTTCTCTTAGTGTCTAATCCTATTACTTATACCTAATTAACTAATTAAAATATCACCTAAAAATTAAAGAGCTAAATTTCTTATTTCTTAAACTAATAAGTATGAAATGAAATAAATTTTACCTAATTAACTAATTGACAACTGGGATACGTGTGTTTGTTTGATATTTAATATACTCAGTACTCTTGAAGGTTAATTATAAAATTTGATTTAGGGTTATATAACTAATAAATCAAGAGGTATTATCTTGTTATTTAATTAATGGGGTCGTCTAGTATTGATGCTCCCTCTCTGCACATTCATTAGAAATAATTCTATTCAATAATTTCAATTCTGTTATTGTCATCCGATTGATTTAATTTTAAAATAAAAGTCAATAATGTCCAAAAAAATATATTTTAATTGTATTATATTGATTTTCATTTTATAATATGAAAAAAGAGAGAGTAAAATACACATACATGCATTTAAATTACAAGTTATAAATAAATAATAGATAACAATTTTCTAGTTCATAAAAGTGTTTTTTTAAATATAGTTCATACAACTTCTAGAAACATAAATATATAGCTAATTATTGAATACTCTTTAATGCATAACAAGTTCGATTCAAATTCTATCGAATCTATTCTTAGGAGAAAATTTAAAACTTGATAAAGAAAATGGTTTTTCAATTTGATATTTGTTTAATTATTGTTTTTAGTTTACTTTTCACTGTTCATATTGCCACCCATATATTTTCACAATCTCTTTACTTTTATTTTGCTTTCGAAACATTCTCAATGATTTTTTTTAATAACAAAATATATTTTGGGATTCCTCTAACGAGTCTATAAAATTATTTTTTAAATTTATTCTTAAATATGATTGTTTTATTCGTATAAATCATATAATATATTTGAGTCAATGAAATTTTTTTTTAAATGATGTCTTAAATTGAAAAAAAAAAGATAATTTTTTATATTTAAAAATATTTAGCAATAACTAATGTATTGATAAATTATTTTTAGTTTAATGTTAGATGTACCTTTTATATGTTTTTAACATATCAATTTTTTTGGTTATGAAAAAGTTATTGAAATATGAAAATCAATTATATTTTAAAAACAATTTTTTTAATTTCTAATAATATTTATAAAAAATAAAATAGATTTAATAAATAGAATTATTTTTAAAGTCTAAATATTAAATATTAAGTATAGAAATGAATTAATAATATATCAAATGATATATACAAATACATATCTTTGTCCTATGTTAAATATAAATAAGTGGCTGAGTAAATTATAAATGTACTAGTTATAAGATGAAAAAAAAAATTTACACAATATTATAAAATAAAAAGATTATAAAGTTAGATTTAATATATTTTATAAATAAATTAAATAAATAAGCTACCGATTATAATAAAAATATATGGGAGATTACTTTTTAAAAAAATATAAAAATAAATTATCAAATAGTTTTTAATTATTTGATAATCTTATCATATTTTGTTTCATAGATGATATTTTATCATTATCTAATGAAATATAATTTTAATATATAAAAATAAGATAATAGTTATTTTTACATTTTAAATCCTATTATGTGAAAGAGTCTTGTAACTGAATTAATTATATTAAAATAAATCTATATGTTTTTTAATCATGTGACTTTTTTTTATTGAGTTTCTATTTATGAGTTAGTTTAAAAGTATTTTTTTGGTTAAGGTTAGATTTAATATATTTTATAAATAAATCAAATAAATAAGCTATCGATTATAATGAAAATTATATGAAAGATTATTTTAGAAAAATATGAAAAAAAATAATTATCACAAAATTTTTAATTATTTGATAATCTTATCATATTTTGTTTTATCTATGATATTTTACCATTATCTAATGAAATATAATTTTAATCTATAAAACTAAGTTAATAGTTATTTTTACAATTAAAATATCCATTATAATAATATATTTTAAATCATATTTCGTGAAAGAATCTTGTAACTGAATTAGTTATATTAAAATAAATCTATATTATTCAATTTATCTACGTTATAGTTTTAACAATACTATTTTTTTTAATATGATTACATTATATTATATATTTCTAATATTTAGAATATAATTATTAATTATTATTTTCTTATCTGATCTTTAATTTGTTTTTCTTATTAACTATCTTATCTGTAATCTATTTCGAGATAATAATTAATTTTTATTAAACATATCTTTTATCTTTTTATATTAACATTCATTTTTTCAAAATCATCAATTACTTTATAAATATATATAGATACATAGAATAACTTTTGTATTTCAATACATAACTTTAAGCATAATAAAATTTCAAGACATGGCTGAGTGGAAGAAATTGAGAGTTTTTGGAGAAGGTTCATATGGCACAGTGTATCTGGTTCTTCTACGTTCTATAGAAGAACAAAATCCGAAAATCTCACTCTTAGCATTGAAGACAAGTTCTTCCTATTCAATGTTAAGGGAGAAAAAGGTTTTTGAGTTATTACGGGGTTGCGAAGGAATCGTACAATGTTATTATTATAAATGCATTGTTGAGAGAGGTTATTTAACTTATAACCTCTTCATGGAGTATGCCCCTCATGGTTCTTTAGGCAATTTAATAAAGACAAAGTTATTATCCGACAAGGAAGTGATAGTCTACACTCACATGCTTCTCAAGGGACTTTCTTGCATGCATGAAAAAGGAATTGTTCATTGTGATCTTAAACCGGATAACATTCTCCTCTTTCCTTCATGGGATGATCGTACAAAATATCAACTAAAGATTTCTGATTTTGGATTGTCCAAGACTAGCGAAGAGGCAAATGCTGATTTAGGAGAGATCAAGTTCAGAGGGACACCCTATTACATGTCACCGGAATCAGTTAGAGGTTTTAAGGAAACACCTTTAGATATATGGTCTCTTGGATTATGGTATTGAGAGGAGCCTGTGACTTCAAAAATGGTGGAACATTGAAACCCAGATTCAATGATTGTACAGCTTGCATTTTTCAATGAAGCACCAAAGATACCAGATGAACTTAGTTACGATTGCAAGGATTTTTTGAAAAAATGTTTGATCAATGATCCTCAACAAAGATGGACGGCTAAAATGCTTCTAGATCATCCTTTTATTCAAAAGGAATATCCAACATCATTGGCTAGGTATAATCCTTCAAATTAGATGTATCCATTTTAATTAAATACTTGAATATTATATCTATGTTAATCAAATTTAAGTACATTATATACATGTATATGTTTTTTATGTAAACCCACTAAATGGTATTTTTTTGTTTATTACAATGTTGATTAGTTTTAAAAAATTAGTAAATAATGTTTATGTAGTTTAGTATTACTCCCGTCATAGAATTTGAAAATGGCTGACGGATGACGTAAGAACATTTTCAACAAACAAATGAAATCATATTTTTAAGCTTTTAAAATATTAAAAGTTTCAATATTACATTTAACGGACTCTTACGTTTTTAAAAGAAAATATTTATTAATAAATTTATTGATCCCAATCAATTATTAATATTAACAAACACATAAAATCACTTCAGTGGAATGAAAAGAAGAAATAATGCATTGTAATTATCTAATATTTATATAGGTTATATAAATACATAACAGATAACAATTTTTTATTTTTCTAATTCATAAAAGTGTTTTTTTATAAATACATAATAGATAACAAATTTTCTAGTTCATAAAAGTGTTTTTTTATGGTATAGTTCATACACCTTCTAGAAACATAAATATATAGCTAATCATATAATACTCTTTAATGCACAGTAAGTTCGATTCAAATTACATTGAATCTATTCTCAGAAGAAAATTTAAAACTTGATAAAGAAAATGATTTCTTAATTTGATATTTATTAGTTTACTTGTCACTGTTCATATTGATTGCCACCCATATTTTCACAATCTCTTTACTTTTATTTTGCTTTTGAAACATTCTTTCAATGATTTGTTTTTTTTATCCATAACAAAATATATATCGGGATTCCTCTAACGAGTCTATAAACTTATTTTTCAAATTTATTCTTAAATATGACTGTTTTATTTATATAAATTATATAACACATCTGAGTCTGAAATTTTATTTTTTAAATATGTCTTAAATTGAAAAGAAAAAAGATAATTTTTTATATTTTTAATAAAATATTTAGCAATAACTAATGGTATTGACTGAATTATTTTTCGTTTTATGTTCGAGGTCCCATTTTCTATGTTTTTTACCCCCTCTCCATTTTTGTTGTTTATGCCCCCGTCTTGACATATGACCCTCCCATTATATTTTAAAACAATCTTTTCTTATTTCGGCATCATCTTATCCCCAACTCCACTAGATTTTCTACCCTCGAATTATTTTAAATACTAAATAATATTAAGTATATAAATGAATTAAAAATTATCAAGAATAGGTACAAATACACTCTTTCTTTTTCTCCTATGTTAAATATAAGTAAGTGATAAATTATAAATATATTAGTTGCAAGATAAAATTTATAAAGACTTAGAAAATGGTATTGTAGAAGTGATAGTAGTTTAAAAATAATGAAACTCAATTATTTTAATATTAAATAGTTTTAATATAAAAAGTTTTGTTATAAACGAATTTCATTTATTTTAAAACTGACAATCTCTCTAGAAACTATTTTCTAGAGTTCTTTGATTCTCTCTAAGGGTTCTTCTTCCCTGCTCGTCCAATTGAAGAACCGAGACTGTATGATTGATCCTTGCGGCGAACTCTTCAATATAGACCGATCAATTTCTCTCGGTTTGAGTAAGTCGAGTTTCCAATCCCAACCCTTTTTTTCTTGGTCTTTTCTTGTACCTCTTGCATGTAGGCCCTGCTTAGTTTACATGTGTTATTTGAGTTTTCAATTTGTGTCTCTATTGATTAGTGCTTCTAATGGTGTACCCTGATCTTGTTTTGTTATCCTAGGAGAGATAGAGCTTCCTTAGCTTTTGGAGTTGTTTTAGGACTCCTAGAGCTGTTGGATCTGTCAGGTAAGAAGAGCTAGTTACTTTGTTTTTAATTGTCTTCATGTTTAATTTAATTTTTGTATGATGTATGATAGTTGAAGTGAGTAATAAGTTGTTTCATGAAATTTGATTTGTTGAGTTGTTTGATGTGAAATGAGGAATTTTAGTATGTTGAGTTGCTTGTTAAAAGGAGTGTGGTGAATTGAACATTGATGAATGATGGGTGAGTATTTATGCTGAGGTGAAGTTGTTTTTGATGATTTTCATTGGTAGTTTCAGTGAATTTTGAGTTGTCTAAGCTGTTATAGATCTTTGATTGGTATTAAATAGAAGAAATAAGTAGTTTTTAGGCTAAAAAGGAGGTTTTGAAGGTGAAAAGTTAAGATAATGGTTATTTGGGAAAAGCTATATTTTTGGATCGGTTTAAGGGTAAATTTAGACTTGTTTGAGTTCTGTGTAGTAGGAATTTGATGTAGAACTGGTGGTAAACTAATACGGTGTGTTTTGTATAGTTTTTGGTTCATTTTTTGGGTTTTTGATTAGTGAAATTCTATAGTTATGGTCTTAGACAAATTATGCATCTTTGGGAATGTTTTCAGGTTATTTTGGGACTGATTGGTATCTACTTTGCAAAAAATTGGCTTTGTATAGTAAGAACTTTAGTTGGACTTATGGGTACTTAACTTGGTCTAAATGCATTGAAATCATGTTCAATTGAGCAATCAATGTCCAAATATAAGTTCTAAACAAGTCTAAGAATCAAATACAGTGCTAAGTATACCCAGTTGGTCTTTTGAATTGAGTTTGAATAGCATTTAAATCCAATTTGTAGGTTGTTATCATCTAGTGTGGCGTTGAGGGGTAGTTTTCTAGCATTGAGCGCCACATTCCAATGGCTCCCTGGTGTTGAGGGTCAGTTTCTTGGCACTGAGCACCCACACTCTAGTGGCTTTGGCGTTTAGGGGTAGTTTTCTGGCGCTAAGCGCCACATTCTAGTGACTTGTCGCTGGGGGTAGTTTTCTAGCGTTGATCGCTGACGATAACTAGTGTAATTTTCGTTATTTTTAAATGTGATTTTTGGTGAATGTTTTGTGTGAAATTGTTATGGTATACATGTTTTGATAGCTAATTAAGGTCTTATTGGGAGACGTCGAATCTCCTTCCCCATATGACAATTTTGACGTCAAACCCTCCTAAAATCACGGCCCTTTTGTTTTTTTCTTAAATTAATTTATTTCTATAGTATTACCAAATCTGAAATACAGAAAATCATTATAGCACATTATAAAATTGTATATATTATGAGTTTCAAGCAATGGAGATTAGGCACTCGTTGCTGCCGCCAAGATTCATCAACTCACGAACAAAATTGTATCATAAGCCAAAATTAATCGGTGCAAACGAAATTTAATCGGTGCAAATGGAATTTAATTGGTGCAAACTAAAGTTAATCGGTGCAAAATAAATTAATTGGAAGAAAATTAATCAAACATACCTTATAGTAGCAATGGTGAACGCAAACGAAACAACAACCCAAACGAAAACACGAAAGAAAGTGAGGCTCACATTCTGAGCTTTTGGGGTTTAAAAGGGCATTTGAGGTCAGCCCCTCCAGATCCGACGTCTAATTACTAAAAAAATCCATTTTTGCGCTACTGTTTTGGGTACTTTCGCAGCTTATTAATGTCTGGAAAAAGGGATCCGACGTCTATTAGACGTCGGCCCCCTCTACGTTCGATGTCTTATGTTTGAAAAAATGACCTTTCAATTGTGATTTTACAACTTCTAACAGAGGATTTGACATCTGATCTGAGGGGTACCGACGTTTATTTTCATATCTTTTTAGCGTCTGATCTAGGGGGCCGACGTCTAAAGGAGGATTTGACGTCCGATTTGGTTGGGAGGCGATGTCTATGTTGTAAAAAAAAATTAATTTTGGCGCTTAAAATGAGATACTTTTGGGCCTTTTTGACGTCTGATCTGGGGGGGGGGCGACGTATAAAGGAGGATTTGATATGTATTGTAGGCTAATCGTGAAGTCAAGAATATTTAAATAGTGGTTGTTCAAGACACATGACTAGAGATGCAAGCAAATTCATCAAAATATCTTACAAAACTAGTGGACATGTCACATATAGTGATGGTAAGAGAGGTAAAATCCTTGGTACTGGAGAGGTAAGAACTCCATCAACTATTGAAATTGAAAATGTGTTGCTAGTAAAAGGTCTCAAACAAAATCTTCTAAGTATTAGCCAACTATGTGATAAGGGCCTAAAAAGTAACCTTTGAAGTTAACCACTGCTTGATATGATGTGCATCCTATGATGGGTTAGTTTTCATTGGTAAACACTATCAAAATATCTACATGGTTGATTTTGAAAACACATATTTTGATTTTATTGTATGTGTGCTTGCTAAAAACGATTAACCATGATTATGGCATAGGAAATTAGCTCACATTCATATGTCATAGTTAAATGAACTAGTCTCAAAGAATCTTGTCAAAGGATTACGTGAAATTAAGCATAAACAAAGCATATTGAAATAAGACACCATTCATAAAGGATCATGTATCAAAAGGTGAATGTAAAATTGAATACATTGATACAATTCATCAATTAACAAACATTTTCACTAAACCACTACCTAAGTATAAATTTGACATTATTATAAATGAACTACTAGGTATCCTAGATGTTGAATGTGCATCCTAAAAAGTGAAATAACATTATTGCTTTGCATATTTTAACTAATCTCATAATGGATTAATATGTTAAGCTGTCAAAAACCATTTGCTTTCTGTTTTAATCTACTAGACCACTTAT